ATTAATTAGAGCTAACTATTACAATGTAAAAATTTCCGGATCAAGTACCGGCACTCTGAGTAACGATATTTTTTACCGAAAAATTATTTCAAACGAAGCATGACACGGAATAAAAAATCTGTATTTACCGTAATTTTCGAAGTATTAAGTATCATTAAATCACTGAATCACTTTAACTAAATAAATATTACTATAAAAATAGTGGTATACTTTTTTGCAGTAAAAATGGATTTTACGGTAAAATGGATCTTACGGATAACAGACCCAAAGTGCCGGTACTTTATTCCGTAATTTGAAACGGAATTTTTTACAGTGTAAGTAAGATGCGGAATCAGGCAACAAAATGTACTTAGTGTACAAATGTATGTCAGGCAACAAATGTTTATGAATAAACACGCTCTTTTTTGAATGATTTGGATTTTTGACATCGAAATATGAGGGTAACAGCAGATATGGTCCCAAAAGTTGAGTAATGAGAACGTTCGAGAATTAGTGTTCTTGCACATTCAACCATATTTCGGATATCTAAGCAAATCATAAGAGTTTTTATCACACAAATGTAAAATTCGTTTTTACAGAGATAATTCTATCGAAAAATAATTTTTAATGATCTTTCGTAAATCTCTTATTATTTTATTTAGTTACAACCGAGAACTGAAATATTTATATATATATATATACATTAAAAAAGAAATTTAAAAAAACGTTGCGACTTATTTAATTCTCCTTCCAATAAGANATATATATATATATACATCTTCTTTCAAATTTTGTATTTTGAAATGTAAAATTACGTAGTTTAAAATTGTGTGAAAATTCGTGAGAACAAACTCCAAAAAAATTTTTTTAACCCATATTTTTTTTGAAAGAAATGATAAAAGATAATTGAAAATTATTAACAACTATTTCTTGCTTTGAATTTTTATGATAAATGAACTTTGTGATTTTGTGAAAAATTTCTTTGATTAGCTTAAAAATTTAAGGAATGGCAAAATACGTAAAAAGTTAAATTAATTCAAAAGACTTGTCAAATAATTTGAGATTTACAAATCTCTAACACTAATTACGTGTATTAAAATCTTTTAGAATTTTTTGGAAAAATTTGTTCACAACCCTAAGATAATTTTGCGTTAAAAATCTTTTAATCGACATTTGTTATTTTTTATTAAAATTAACCATATTTAAAATATTTTCAAATTTTCACATTTTATTTAAACATTGTCATATCAAATCTCAGAACCATAAATCGTAAAATTGGTTCAACAAAAGCAGTAGAAAAATTTATGAAAAATGAAAATATAAAAATATAATTTTAAGAATTTTTATATTGCAGAAAATATTCAATTGACTTAAATAAAATTTTAGAACTTATTATTTTAAAATACGTACTCTCTAAAAACATGCAAAGTTATTAATACCTTACACTTTAAAAAATTTCAATTGTTTATTTCACTGCAAATACTTAAACTTTATAATTTTAAGAAGGTAACAAAACACTAAAATATAACGCTGAGTTGATGGAATCTTTTCCTAATAGAGTACTTTTTTCATCAAGAACACTGTTATTCACACTTACTTTTTAACATAAATGACATTGTTTACATTTTTTACATTGTTAATATAAATGATAAAAATATTATGAATAACACAGGGGAACAAATTTTTTGTTGCATTCATACCAATCTGAACTTTAAATTTGAAATTAGTTTTGCTCCATAACCTACAGATTTGTTTCAAAATGAAATTTTTAGTTTTTTATAGAAATATACAAAATTAGAAACGTTTTATATAATAGGAAGTCCCGTAAATGTTGCGACATATCTCTAGAGGGGTTAGGGCGCATTATCATATTAAAATTGCATTGGAACCAATGCTTGGAAACGTCCTCGTACACGGCTAGGGACGCTTTACCATTATGACCTGCTCGAAAGCACACGAAGTAACAGTTCATAATATCAGAGAGCCTCTAGTCACGCATGATGACGTTTACGGACATGAGTTTAAATCCAGATGCCTTGACTCCCCTAAAAGTGCGTCGCAACGTTTATGAGACCCCTTACTATATATAACGTTTTTGAACTTACACATTTCAACCAAATATAGACTGAAAATATCATTTAAGAAAAACACTGTAGCTTAAAGACAGAAACCGATTGCAGATTTCAAATCAGTGATTCGAGAAAATCTAAGACATGTTCAAAATCTCACACAACAGAGGGGGGGGGGAATGTTCCCCTGTATAATAATTAACTCTCTTTTAGTAAACAAACTTTTGTAAAAGAGTAAAATTTAATTTTAATTTACACAATTACGAAGAAATATAAAAAAGTAAAATGAACATTTAGAAGCTTTTAAATTTCATTCTTTCGTTGGAGCCCTTCTTTAAAATGAATCGATTTCTAAAGTTTCTATATGAAATCACTATAAAGTTAGAAAATATTACAATTATAACATTTTTATGACTGAAATACTTAGCTTGAAATTCAAATGTAATTTCGAAAATAATGTATGAAAAAATTCATTTGCCTTTTCGAGTATTTTATACAGATCGCAATCACCATTTCGGAAAATATTTATCATAATGAAAATAATTAAAAATACTTTTTTAAATCTGGACATATCTCGAAATACATGCTTACGAAAATGGACACAGCAGTTGAATAAAATAGTAATAAATCTTACTAAATTGAAAAAAAATAATTATGGAAGAAAAAATTATTAATACTAAGACTAATAAAATCATTATTTATTCAGATTTATTTAACTGCAGTGATATTTATCTTTTTATCAGATACAAAAAAATTGAAGCAGCAGCAAAAAACTAAATTTTTACTTAAAAATTGTTCTAAATTAATTATCAGATAGATTTTAAATGCGTAAACTTATTACTTTACAAAAAAATATCAAACAATTATTTTTTATTATAGAGATAATTGTAATAATTAGCAGTCAATCAAATAGTTAAAAAAAATTGGAAACTGTCGTCGATTGTTTTTCAGAATATTAATTCTCGCTCTCACTTTATTGACAGTTTATGACAAAAATAAAAACCATAGAAATCAATCTGTCTTGAAATGAAGGAAATAATAATAGAGGAATAAAATAGATAAATTCTGATGGGGTATTAAAAATTGATTTTCAAGAAGCTAATCAATAAATTATTTTTATTAGAGGAGATAATTGAATTAATTCACAGAAATCAAATTGTCAAAACTAGATGGCGGCAGTCGTCAATTGTTTTTCAGAATAATAATTTTCACTTCATTTTACAGACAGTTTATGATAAAAATAATAACAAAAATCTGACCAATTAATAATTTTTATTATAGGACATAATTGTAATAATTTACTGCAAATCAAATTGTTTGTATTAATTACATACCTGCCAACTTTTAATCTTTTTGAGGACCATTTTTCCCAGTGGTAGTAATAAGAAAATTGGATTACAATTATAGGCAAAATAATAACCTTTATTATGCAAGCGCTTAAAATCACAATCATAAGATTATTAAACATTTATTTATCTATTTAATTTATTAAGATGTAGTTGTGGATATTGTCGCTGGATATCGATTATTTTAACTAATTTTTAATTTGACTGTATTGCTTGTTGATGACGAAAGTAAATACAATACAAATCAACTTTCCGGAAGGAAAGGAAGTGAAAGTGGATAAATTCTGAATGGATAATAAAAATTATTTTACCAAAAAGCTAATCAATCATTTTTTGTTTTATTATAGGACATGTTTGTAGCGATTTACAGTCAATCAAATTTTTTGTATTAATTGAAGCTGGATATCAATTATTTTAACAATTTTTTTTTCTTTCTAATTTGACTCGATTGCTTGTTGATGATGAAAATAAATGTAATTCAAATCCACTGTTCGGAGGAAAAGGAAATAAAAGTGGAGGAATAAAGCAGATAAATTCAAAATCAATATTAAAAATTGTCTAATCAAAACTAACCAATTGATTTTTTTTATTATAGAACATAATTGTAATAACTTACAGCCAATCAAATTTTTTGTACTAATTGGAGCTATATATAGATTATTTTGATAAATACTGATTTTTAATTTAACGCTATTGTTTGTTGATGACGAAGATAATAACAATATAAATTAACTGTCTGGAAAGAAAGGAAATAAAAGCGGAGGAATAAAGTAGATAAATTCAAAATCAATAATAAAAATTGTTTAACTAAAACTAACCAATTGATTATTTTTATTATAGAACATAATTGTAATATTTTACAGCCAATCAATTTTTCTGTACTAATTGGAGCTGTATACAGATTATTTTAATAAATACTGATTTTTAATTTGACGCCATTGCTTGTTGATAACGAATATATATACAAAAATATCCGGAAGGAAAGGTAATAAAAGTGGAAGAATAAAGTGTATAAATTCTGAATGGGTACACAGAAATCTTTGAGGAAAAGAACTAACCAATAAATTATTTTTATAGGATTTAGTTGAAATAATTAACAGCAAATAAAATTGTTTAGCTGAATATTGATTGTTTTTCAGAATACTAACTCTATCTTTAGAGCCAGTTTAAGATAAAAAATAAACACAATACAAATCAACTATCTGGAAGTGGAGGAAATATGACAAAGCCCACTAAAATTAATCACTGTTATTAACATTTTACAAAAGCAATTTACATTCTATTCATTTTGTAAATGGCTCCGTCCACTTCAATCACTTACATAACACTCAACCGTCCTTAAATGACTCCCTAATACCATTACGCTATCGCCGATCCAGCCAGAAACGTCAATATGTTTGAAGTGGAAACTAAGCGCTTAAGGCCTTAGGGCCATAAAACCATCATCAAAGGAACCCAGTTAGTCCCCTTTTCGCAATTTACTTGCACAATGCATTCTCAATTCATCCCCTTTCCACCCCACAGTGCACGCCTCTCCAGTCTCTGATTGGTAGTTAACGTCACCTCGTGCTCTGTGTAACCAATAGGAGGCGTGCCAAAAGACTAGGATGTGGAACTGAACGATAAAGATGCTTCTGTCAAGAGAGATTCATGGCCCGCGGCGGTCATCTTGTTCTGCCTCCGTGATTACCAGATCTAGCTCATTGGGTTTAGATATCGATACTATAGGTCCTCAAGGACTCGAAGGTGATTAAATTCGGTCTTAAACACTGAAGATATTGAATTTTGATGATTCGAGCTGCAATCTGCAGAAGTTTGGGCTTAACTAAGAAATATCGAACGGTTTCTTTGTAGAGATTCATCTTCAGCATCCATCCAATGTTTTGTTTTCCAGATTGTTGCGTCAGGTGAAAGATATGAAAACGATGCAATTCTTAAGATATTAATAAAACTCTTATTAATTTCTGCATCCTGTTTGATGCCCGGAAGTATTTTTGTGAAATGAAATTTTATGAAGAGTAAAATTCAAGAAAGTGTTATGAGAATGAAACTTCTTGTTTACAGTTAAAATTTCAAGCTGATTTTGTTATTTTAGAATAGCTTCTCTAAATCATCATAAAAAAAATCATTGCTAACGAAAATCGACAAAAACATCGAAAGACTGCAGACATTTTTTTGGCCTTTCAATATTTATTGTGACTTTGTCATACCAAAAACAATGCAAGTAGATAGGTCCCCTCTGGCACCTTTGGCATTTTCTGAATCAAATGGATGTCGAAGCTCTCACTTAGCATCTACTTTAGGAAACAGAACAATTTCAGATGAAAGAAAATCCACCCCTATACATTCCATAGATGCTATCCTAGGATTGAAAACTTGGAAAAGAATGAGGAACAGTCCATCACCACCCCCAAGTAAATCTCCTTGTGATAGAGAACTCATGGGAGAATGCAGTAGTCCACATCATGTCAAAATTTTTAGACCAACTGAAGATCTGGAAGATCATACAAGAGAGAATTCAAGTAAGTTTCTTTTTCTTTGAGCATTTTCAATACATATATATATAGCCTTTAAAACTCGTGTGGTTTCTCTAAATAAAATTAAAAACTGAAAAAAAAAGGCGCAAAGAAATTTACTGATCAGATGTACAACAGCAGTTAATTAAAAATTTATGGTCACCATAGCTGTAGTGTGTAAAATTGAGAATAAGGAAGTATGATAATTTATCTTATTTTTTAGATTCTTTGTAATATAGTCATTACTCAAAGATCTTAGTAGTAAAATGTGATAATCACCATTTTTGTAGTTCAGAGATAAATAGATTTTACTGCAATGATGTGTGACTTCTTTTGAAAGTCAATCAGTATTGTGTTGCCGCTTCCCTGGAGAGATTCTTACCATTTGAGTAGTATGAAAGCTCTTGAAGTAATTATTTACAGTAAAGTTAATTTTTTATAAGATGTTGGTTATTACTTTTTACCCTCGAAGTCTTTAACTATTCTATCCACAATTTAGATGTAATTTATACATACTCTTAACTGTTTAGATCATTTCCTGATTATTTGTTTTCCTTTTTTTAAAGAAATGTTTTTTTCTTTTATTTAGCTGAATATTTTTTTAATTCTAACATTTTCTGTTAATAATGAGTTAAATAATACTTATTTTATATAATGTTTTATTGAATGATTCTCTTACTGTAGCCAAATTTTTATTTATTCCATGGTTTTCTTTTTAAATGAATTAAATAATATTTATTTAAAACAACGATGTATTGAAAGATTTTTCTGATTTTAGCCGAATTTTTATTTTATTCAAACATATTCCTTTCTTAATGAATTGAATAATATTTATTTTATATAATCTTTCATTGAGATACATTCTTTTTCTTTTTTAGAAGAATCTTTATCGTATTCTAATTTTTTTTAACAAATTAAATAATATTTATTTTATATAATGTTCTATTAAGAGATTTCTTTCATTTTCTTTTTTTAAACGAATTATATAATTTGTGTTTTGTTTTATTGATGTAGGTAAACTTCTTTTCAAGTTAATGATTAATCAGAGTTTTCTTAAGCCTATTTAAGGAAAATTCTCCAACTAAAAATGTATTACATGTGTTGAAAACGTTTTTTATTTTCAATTAATTAAACCTTTTAAAGAAGTTCTTAAATTCACGAATAAGAGAATTGAACATAAAATCAACAAAGATAATTCTGGGTTCATAGGCTTTCTTTTTGTATAATGTTTATTTTTTTAACACAATTTAAAATTTCAGATGTGACATCTATAATAACTTTCATTTATATATTTTCAAATTTCATTTTTGAATTTATTAATTTATATTTTCTAACTTTTTTAACACATAAGTAATTCATTTTAAATCTTCTTTAGGAACTTATTAGATAAAATGCTGATTAATTTGAATGATAAACAAATTTGGCTGCTATTATATTAATGAAAAAATTCATTTCAATTCAGGAAATGCCTATTGATCCATACTATTGTGTGATTAAATTTATTCAAGAAGTACGATAATATTGTTTACCTTAGCACGATATTATCGACAATATTATGGTTCTACTCCCTTCAAAACTAAATTTCATTTTCTGAATGCAAGTTAAAACTTCAGACAAGCTTCAGAGCATTGCATGTTCACACCCTATCTAAAGTTTAATCTTTAAGTTTCTATCGATTAAAGTTTATCTATTTAATAAAAATAACTTCATCAAAGTTTCGACAACTGATAAAATTATTGGTTTACCCATTTGAGATTAAATTTTATCAAAATTACTGATTGATGCATGGGAAATTATAGTTTTGTCAAATTAATCGATTTATAAATGATGAACTCAATTGTTTTTAATATTAAATATATTTTGTGAAAATTCTGGTTGCAATGAGCTTCCAAATGGTTTAAATAGAGCTAAATGAACATAGATCTAAATTTCGTACTTAAATATTGAAATTTATAACGCTTGACACTTAATATCAGTCATATTTTATATCAGCCTATAATATCAATGCTTTTTAACAATTCGCATGCCTATCTTGCGATTATAGACTGCTTTTTATAGCAATTATAATCCCAATATATCCAATATTTACACCTATTATTCCTTAATAATTCATTATTGCGTGTTTAATTTTTCTTATGATAACGTTCGTTTTGATATAAATGTGAAACATTTTTCATAGTTAGGCATATTAATAGTAATTTAATGTTTCAAAAAGTTATTCTTTAACTAAACAAATGTCACTCGATGTGTTCGAATGAAGGACTTTCAAGGTAATGTTGATATAAATCAAAGTGCCTTTTTAAGGAAATTTTTACTTCAATCCGTTCCTTAGTAATGTTTCCAGAAGGGTAATTTACATGTTATCAGAATTTTCTACAAGACAACGCAGGCCTCCTTTTACCTGCATACAAATTGTTTATTTATTTATTTTGAATAAAAACGCTCTTATAATTTGAAAATTGACTTGTAGTTCCCCTTATTGCTCCAAGCAATTTAAATGAGTTCTCATCATTAACAGTGTTCTATGCTTATCATATATCAATAAAAGTAATATTATAATATATTTCCTTCCAATATTGCTTATTAATATCATCAATACTGATATTATATTAATTAGATTAGATTATTTAAAAATATTTATTTCATTTAAGTTCTATACCAATATTATTTATCAATGCTGTTTTTTGTTGTTAGAAATGATGGGTTTTCATGAATGCAAGTCAAAACGTATGGAAATACCGCTAACTGAACTTATATTCCACGTTGATATGATTGACATGATTACAAATTTACATCATAACATTATATAAAGTTAGGATTACAACAACACATAACAGAAAAATTTTATTATATTCTATAGTGTTTCGTTATTCTTGTAAGGTATATAAATTTTAGCAAGATGAAAAATTTATTCGAAATGAATTGAGGAGACTAAAGAATAAAAATCTTTGAAAAATATTTGTAACATTATTATTTTTTTTCTCCTTCTTCTTATTTGTAATTTCTTTAAAAATTTTATTAATCTATTCGAGCATTTAGATTGAATATTTTTGGCAAAGGTGTTAGTTAAACATGCTTACTTCCTTATAAGAAGTATCTACTTAGAAATAATTTTAAAACCTTTATTTTTAACGGGTTATTATAAACTAAAATATTTTTGATTAAACTAACTTGAAACATTATGTATGGATCACGTAATAATACGCTTTTATGAAATCAAGTAATACCTATTTAATGAACATTGAAAAGTTTAAAAATTGTATGCAAAACTATTTTACTTTTCTTGTTTTTTTTATCAGAATTATTCATAAAAATATACTTCACAATTTCTTGACAAACAATTACTGGACAAAAGGATGTTTCAAATTCAAATTGTATCTAAAGGAATAAGTTTGCTTTAGCTCTAATAACATTTTTAGTATATTACTTAAGCTTTAATCTACAAAAAAGCTAAATTTTATTTATTTATTTACTTAAAACTATATTTACGAAGAAGCCCACATGCAAAGAGGAAGTCAAAGATACTTTTTTAATTTTCAGAAAGCTTTCATATTCCTCTTTGTCTTTTTTTTTTGAAAATGTTATGAGTTTAATTCAAAACAATATGCTAGAGCATTTTTCTAATCTTTAATACAATTATTAATAAGTATTAATATTCGCTAGTAATACTTATTATTTATATTACATTAAGCTGAATTTAGCTAATTATAATTATACAAGCAGAAAATAAATTTTCATAACATTTTGCTTCCCTTAAAAAAAAAATTATTATGCAAATAGCTTATGAATTTTTTCATTGTATACGAGACACATAACAGTATTACTATAATTTTAGAATAAGAATTTCAATTCAAGTTCAGTACAATAGAAAAACTTAAATTGTCAAGGGCAATATTACCATGCACTATATTACCATAACTTATATTTTCCTTACTTTGTGTATTTAATTATAGTATATATATATATATTAAATACATATATATTTTAANTATATATATATTGGTATAACAAATTGGTTGAGATCTACAAATTTTTATTATCAATTTTTATTTATAAATGTTTATTAAATAAATATAGTATAACCATTGTTAAGTAATTGCATTTCGTTTTAAAAGTTTGTTTTACATTATGTTACTTTCATCGACTATCATAATAATAATTAAAAAAAAAAATCATCAATAGATCAGTGATTTAAAAAAATTATTAATTAATTCTTGATTAATTATTCTAATAGTTGTTATTTTAAAAACAAAATCTAGTTTTGTATGATTGAAGATTGAAGTAAGTATTATTTACAAGATTTTGCAATCTGTCTTGTTTAAAAGTTTAAATGAATTCAATATGTTTGAAAAAAATGTCAAATCATCGAGTCTCTACAATATAAAATAAATAAATAAATAAATAAATACTTTCTCCATATTTGTCGTAAGACACAAATTTCGATAAAATTATGAATTGAATTATTACTTATTTCATGTTATCCAGTTTTAATTATCCACTTTGTTAGTTTAAGGAATTATTTGTGGGGTTTCTGTTGAATTTAATTTTATAAGACTTGCAGTTCTCTCTCTCTCCCCCCCTCTCTCCCTACAACATAAATTTTAGCCCATGTGTCTAAATATTTCATCAAACAATCAAACTATTTTAATATGGGAAAAAAATTAGGAAAAACAAATTTTTAAAGGAATAACTTATTTATCATTAAATGGCGAAAATAAATGTTTTGAGTATTATTTAAATTTTGCCATTGAAACTAATACTCTTCCAAATTAATTTAGATAAAACAAATCAAAAAAGTTTTGGGGACTAAATAGTATATCTCGAAATATAATTGAAAAGAAATTATTTAACATCTGCAATGATTATAAAGACATTTTTGCTGACCTAGTTTATACAGGCCCTTTATTTGACTTCTTACCTTTTCTCCAAAAATTATTTTTCCACAGACCTAGTTAAACTTGCTACGAATAAAATTAGTTTCACTGTCTGTAAATATAAAATTTATT